TGGAAAAAGCGGGTGTGGGTGTTTTTCGAAAAATGTTTTTATCTTCCCAAAAATATTCCTTCTGTAATACTGAAATGACGGTATTGGAACTATCAGTTCACGAGTTTACAAAGTGAATATGCCACTTAATGCGGCACTTTTTTGACACAGTACTTTGAAAGTTTATGCGAATAGTGTGGAATCAAAAAAATGTAAACTCGGTTTGCACAGCAGTAGGAGAAATTATATATTTCACCTTTCATATACACGCCGAAGATGATTCCTTTTTGGCACACAAGCTAAAAGGTTTGCCCGAAAAACATGCACTGTCAAAAATAATGCTTGCTTTTCACAAAACCAAGAGAAAAATATCATTTTTTACATTTAGCGATCGAGTATGACTTCGCTTTCATCTATTATATCAGCAAATAAACAAGAGCTCGAACGAAATTTTCTGTTATTCAATAGCATTTCAAGTCATGGAGAACGTATTTCATATTGGAAGTCAAAATGAAGCGGAAGGGTTTTAACGGAAAAATATGTTGGAAAATCTATTGTGCGAAGCGAAAATTTTACTAGAATTCAAGAAAGTTATGAGCTAGAAAATTATTTTCTAAGAAACTTTCATCGAGCAGCATTTATCTAGTTTCTTGTACGCAGAATTTTTCAGTAAAAAAAGAAAGTTTTTTTTAGTGAAAAGGCGGAAAAAAAGTGAAGAAGCGGAAGAGGTAGCAACCCTGATCGAAAACTATTCCAAGCCTTCTATACATTCATGCGAATTATTGAGCATTGAATAGGAAACAGTTTTGGCTAATCCAAAGATTCGACAAATTTTCCATTCATTTTTTTCGCTTTTCAAAACTAAGGTAGTTTGAGCCTACTCAGGTAAAAAATCAGAGGGTCTGAGCCCACCCTAGTCTGAATTCCTGGTGCCGCCGCTACGTATTGTCCGAAATATTCAAAAGTGATATAAACCTTGATACTAGTTCAACTCCAAAAAATATTTTTGCCATTTAATTAAAACCAAACGAAATAAACCGAGATATGCCAAATTCCAAGCTCTATCTTTATAAACTATTGAGAGTAAAAACTAGGTGCGTGGCAGATTTAAGATTAAATCCGAGAGTATCCTTTTTAATCTAATTCAATTAATTGCAGCTAATAGTGGATAGTTCATATATATATGCCGTAGGATAGATTAAAATCTAGTTCAGATTAAAATAATTTCGATCTAAACTAGTTCAGTTTAAAATTTTCTTTGTTGAAATCGAAGTTATTTTAATCTGAACTGAATTTCAATCGACCCTACAACTAGTGGCGTCGCTAGGGTGGGGCCAGATCAGGCTGAGCCCCATCACCGGCTTTGAAGCCTCACAATCGTTATTCCAGTTTATCGATTGAACTCTTGAATTAAAGAAATAAATATGATTTAGAGCACTGAAGTCTGAATTTTGAATCGAAAAGAGTGTAAATATTTTCTCCATTGATAGTCATCGGGAACCATCTGTTAATTTATGTAACTATTAGATATTAAAAGCATTAATCATCATTTTATTTTATTTATTATGACTCACAAGTGCTGAGAGAAGCTAGCGATAATTTGTAATATTTCACAAACAGATAAATTAAAAAAATGCAACCTAGTAAATCAAAATCAAGAACTTTGATGTCTTTCTTTTCACCATCTTCAGCAAAAAAACAAAGATTAATTAATCAAGAGTTACACCACTCATCCACATCTACGGAAACATCAACAGAACTTGTTTTGTCAGAAGAAACAAATTTGCATCGACTTGATGCAAGTACCAATCTGCATGATAGTGCAACTGCTATACATAATAAATCCATTTCAAGAAATTCTACGACTCATGCTTGTTTGAGCGATATTTGTTTATTGGCTATCGAACTTGATCTCGATATCCATTTTGAACAGCTTATTGATACTTTTTCAGATATTCATAAAAATAGTCGCATTATACTCAAATAAATATTCTTTGCTTTTTTTATTTCAAATTTTCTCTTCTCAAACATAAACTATAGGCATCTTCGTATATAAGATACAAATATGTCACATATGATACGCCCATTTAATTTTAGTGCAGTGGAAGTTTAAATTTTAAATTTTAAACTTTAAAATTTAGAAATAAGATTTGAAAGTTTGTCATGATGATTAGTGCCTGGAGCCAGTGAACGAGTACGTTCGAAGGAGAGATGGGGCTGAGCCTCATCACCGTTAAATTTTTGGTGACGCGACTATCTACAACATATATAACGGGTGCGGCAGGATAAATGGCGGTCTCAGTATTTCGCCGATATCTCCCTTAATCTTAGTCCGAGTTAGCTCCCGTTTTTTTCAAAAGAATCGTCTTTCAAAGTTCTACAAAACAATACTATTTTTATTAACGCAAATAACTTCCATCATTTTGGTAAAGACGATACAATCGATTGGCCCAACACGCACAACCTTCAAAAACAACAGATTCAGAAATTTTTTTTACCGACAATTTTAATTCCTTAATGAGTGTTGTTTTTGAGTAGACTTTGTTCCAATTGATGTTGTTGACCAGCTGATCCCATATTGAGTAGTCCAGTGGGTTTAAATCTGGACTATTTGGTGGCCATCTGTCTTTCTCAAT